CTGAGCTGAGCTGAGCTGAGCTGAGCTGAGCTGAGTTGAGCTGAGCTGCGTTGAGCTGAGTTGAGCTGAGCTGAACTGAGTTGAGCTGAGCTGAGTTGAGCTGAGCTGCGTTGAGCTGAGTTGAGCTGAGCTGAGCTGAGCTGAACTGAGCTGAGCTGAGCTGAGCTGAGTTGAGCTGAGCTGAGCTGAGCTGAGCTGAACTGAGTTGAGCTGAGCTGAACTGAGCTGAACTGAGTTGAGTTGAGCTGAGCTGAGCTGAGTTGAGCTGAGCTGAGTTGAGCTGAGCTGAGTTGAGCTGAGCTGAGCTGAACTGAGTTGAGCTGAGCTGAGCTGAGCTGAGTTGAGCTGAGCTGAGTTGAGCTGAGCTGAGCTGAGTTGAGCTGAGCTGAGCTGAGTTGAGCTGAGCTGAGCTGAGTTGAGTTGAGCTGAGCTGAGCTGAGCTGAGCTGAGCCCCCCAGTTCCCCCACACCCACATGCTGTGGGCACTGAGCAGCAGCATTACCTCGTTGGTGACCTTGGCCCCGAAGAGCCAGCCTGCCCCACGAGGGCTGATGGCCCACGTGTCCACGTCCTCGGGGTCTGACCACACCAGGTCACAGAAGGCTCCTTTGTGAGGGATCTCCTGGTTGCGTTCGATGGTCCGGATCTGATCCAGGGTCTTGATGTCAGGGGAGAGGCCCCCGTGCACACACAGAATCTGCTCATCTATTAACTGCAGGGAAAGGACAGGGCACAGAAACTCAGGGAAAGGACTGCACAGAAACTCAGGGAAATGACAGTGCACAGAAACTCAGGGAAATGACACAGGCACAGAAACTCAGGGAAATGACACGAGCACAGAAACTCAGGGAAATGACACAGGCACAGAAACTCAGGGAAATGACACAGGCACAGAAACTCAGGGAAATGACACAGGCACAGAAACTCAGGGAAATGACACGAGCACAGAAACTCAGGGAAAGGACAGTGCACAGAAACTCAGGGAAATGACTGCACAGAAACTCAGGGAAAGGACAGTGCACAGAAACTCAGGGAAATGACTGCACAGAAACTCAGGGAAATGACAGTGCACAGAAATTCAGGGAAAGGACTGCACAGAAATTCAGCGTTCACCAGCCCAGAGACGTTCCCAGGTCCCACCTCCAGACCCCAGTGGAGGTGCTGGTGTTGTCAGGGTGTTGTTTGCACTTACAGCTGCTATTGTGAGCATGTCAAACACTTTGGTGCAGTATCTCCAGGCGTTGGCGTTCCCGTATTTGGTTTGGCACTCGTCTGTTGGAGACAATGGTTTTATTCTTCATCAATCACAGGAGAACAGGCAACACAGGCACAACAAACCCTGAGAGCACAACTGCACACTCAGGGGTGCCACACGAGCCCTGCAGAGCCCTGGGCAGCAGCAGCAGCAGCAGCAGCAGGGATTGAGCACCTCAAGCTCTGTCTCTGCGACTGAAAGTGGCACCACGGTGCAAACAGAAACCACACGAGGCAGAGGAAAAGAGCAGCGAGGCCTTAAACACATCCCATTTCACAAACACAGCAGCCATGTTAACAAATGGCACATGAACCCACGCCCACCCCGCCCTGGAGAGCCCCTGTGGCCCTGCAGGTGACAGAGGCTGTCCTGGAGAGCCCCTGTGACACTGCAGGTGACAGAGGCTGCCCTGGAGAGCTCCTGTGGCACTGCAGGTGACAGAGGCTGCCCTGGGTGTTCCTGTGACCCTGCAGGTGACAGAGGCTGCCCTGGAGAGCCCCTGTGACCCTGCAGGTGACAGAGGCTGCCCTGGAGAGCCCCTGTGGCCCTGCAGGTGACAGAAGCTGCCCTGGAGAGGTCCTGTGACCCTGCAGGTGACAGAGGCTGCCCTGGAGAGCCCCTGGGCACTGCAGGTGACAGAGGCTGCCCTGGAGAACCCCCGTGGCCCTGCAGGTGACAGAGGCTGTCCTCAGTGTCCCGTGGTGCCAGGACTCACCGTAGAAGCCGTACACCTGCGTGATCTGCCGGCTCTCGTGGTTGCCCC